CTTGTTGGGGGCGGTTGGGCGCAGTGCAGGCCGCTTCAACTGTCCCGAAGACGTTGTCGGTCCACTTTGAAGACTTGGTCTGGCCGCCTTGCTGGCTGGTCTTGATATAGACGATCGAGATTGGCGAGCCGCGGCAGAGGGAGGCGGAGGAGGGCCCATCGACGTTTTTGGTCCTGACGAAGGGCGGGCTTTTGCTGCGGACGGCCGCGAGGGGCCACTGATTGACGAACGGGTGGAGGAAACAGGTACGGCGGGGGTCGACGGAGACTTGACCGGCGATTTCATCGGCGACTGAACCTGCGACATGTTAGCAGTCACCAAAACATTGGCAAACATCGACCAAATCTACCCTGGATGTCCGCTGAGATGCGGTCCGCGAAGTAGGCGACGGGCTCGCAGCACTGGCGCTATGTCTTTTGGCATTGTTTGCAGGCAAAGCGCTGGGTCTTTTCATGGCAATCCCACTTGTTGTAGAACCAGTCTGGGCTCGCCCCCTGTTCGCTGGAGCACTGGCGCCGCCCTTGGGAGGTTGTTTCGTCTCTCGCACAGGCTGTTCAATGATAGCGGCAACAGCAGACGGTCGTATAAACATTCCGAAGCCCGGTTCACAGTCAAAATACCGTTCTCCCTGGACAGACCCATCGTTTTTCCCTGTAGGTTCATTTAGCTCAATACCGACCCAATCGCCGGCAGCAAAATGCGTAGTCCCAATAAACCGAACGGTGGCCTGCCGACCGTCGGTCAGAGTGACTACATGGCCAATAAATAATTCAGACATAGCACAACATTCAGAATGAGAGCTCTTGCTCAATCAAAGGCCAATGGAACGCGGGTTGCAGACTATGGGCCGAGAGATGGGGTTGTTGATGTGTTTGTTGCTTCCGAGCCTCATGACGCGACGCCGCGTGATTGGTTCGAGCTGGGGCCTGAGGGCTGAGGCATCAGCCCCCTGATACCTAAGGTACCGTAGGTGCCTACGGAGAGCTATCTAAACCATAAAGCGCAAGTGGCCGGAGTGTCCAACAGTCCAATTTCCTTAGTGCTTTAGACTAGGTAGACTACATCGTTGCCGCGAATCATCCGTCGGCGCATCCGGCCAAGCTACCCAAAAGAAGTTACTGCTAAGTGCTAACATCTCTCATCCACAGAACTAATATCAAAGAACCGCGGTGGTAAGTTGGGACCACCTTCTGCGACGATGTCGCCGCTGCATCTCAGTCTGCCATCTTACTTCAAAGACAGAAAGCACAACATTTTGCAGGCCGTTCGCTTGGTGGAAACGGACCATTCGCTATGAAAGGGCATCAACGGTTCAGTGACCTTCGTCCTTGGTACACCCTGGCACTGGTAGGCTCTGGATGAATCGTTCGGAGTCGTTCCCCTCGGACCCCTGTGGGACGCTATCACAAAGTGTCTAAGCGATGCTTAGCTGCTGGTCAAGAACCATGTAGGCAATTTCGCATAACCCAGACTTAGCCTCAAAAGGTTCTCTTGGACTGGTGAAGTCGCTTTCCGGGCCTTGGCTGTGATATCCACACTTTCACGAGCAGGCAAGAGTCCATGACAATAGTGGCTAGGACACCCTCTTGCTTTCACTAGATCACTAGACTAATTGTTGGTTGAGTCAGTATCGCAGGGTTACATTGAGAAGATTCACTGTATATTAAACATCTCTTCTCTCCTAGCGTCGAAGCCTTTTGGGTCTTCTTTCTTTTCTAGGACCCCTCGCTCTATATAGACTATCGTCCTCAATATAATGCGAAAAGCGGTTCTGCGCTTCCCACCATTTTGTTCATTCTGACTTATCCGTCGCTGTTGTTGTATCATTCCCTTCCTGACAAACTCGCTCGTCAAAGTCATCAGGAGAGCTGGCGAAACAAGATCACGAAAATGCGGCAGCCTCTGTATTACGGTGCAATCTGGTCTGCTTTAGCCAGTCTTGCATCGGCTGATGCTCCATCTTCTCGGCAATGGGCTGAGAGAGCAATCTACGTTCGTCTCCCTTGAACATCATCACATGGGTCCAACGTCAAGCGTTACCGTGGCGGCTCAGAGTGCTGACAGGGCCATTCTTCTAGCAAGTTATGACAGATCGCTTTGCTCGCCCAAAGGGTTCATCTGACGCACCTTGTGATCCGAGCAGGTACTGTGGAGGCTCGTGGACTGGAATCATTGACAAGCTCGACTATATTCAAGACCTCGGATTCACAGCCATTCAAATCTCGCCAGTCGTGGAAAATATCCCGGACAATACCAAGTACGGTGAAGCATATCATGGGTACTGGCCCAAGAATCTGTATGCTCTCAATGAACACTTTGGGACCGCAGACGATCTTCGCAACTTAGTGAGCGAGGTCCATAGACGAGATATGTACCTAATTATTGATGTTGTGATCAATGATATGGCTCAAGCTATCAATGGTTCCATGGTCGATGACCCGTCGCTGAAGATTGACTATTCCCAGCTTTTCCCCTTTGACGATGAGAAACACTATCATTCTTTCTGCGCCATCACTGACTGGAATGATCCTAAATCGTACCAGAATTGCTGGTTTGCCGTGGAGACGGTTGCCTTGCCAGACCTGAAGACAGAAGATGCCACGGTCGTCACCATGATCGAAGACTGGATCAAGGAATTTGTTGGTAATTATTCTGTTGACGGACTCCGCATTGATGCTGCAATGCACATGAATGACGCCTATGTCGCCAGCTTCTCCAAGACGTCCGGTTTATTCACTATCGGCGAAGTGGACAGCGAAGACACAGGCCTGGTGTGCAAATACGAAGATTTGGTCTCTGGTGCCCTGAACTATCCACTCTATGAACCCTTGATCCAAGCCTTCACAGCAGGCAATATGCCCAGACTCGCTGAGAGTATTCGGACGGTGCAAAAGGATTGTAAAGACTTCACACTTCTGGCAACATTCGTCGAGAATCACGATCTCCCTCGCTTTGCGACGCTGATCAATGACACGACGGTAGGTTTGGATGATTTTACTAGACATTTTATATCAGCTAACTGGTACAAATTAGTTGGCAAAAAACGCGATGGCTTTCAACATTCTCTCAGACGGCATCCCTATAGGTACGTTTCTCGACAGGACAGGCTGAGTCCCCCAGGCAGACGCTAATAACTTCAACCAGTTTACCAAGGTCAAGAGCAGCACATGCAGGGCAACTACACGCCCTTCAACCGAGAAGCCCTTTGGACAACGAACTATGATACCACCGGCCCGCTATTCAACCTGACCGCAACGCTGAACAAGCTCCGAAACCACGCCATTAGCATCGACAACCACTATGTGACCAACCATAGCATAGAGCTTCATCTCGACAACTCCACGTTCGCCACCAGGAAGGGCCCCGAGGGAGTGCAGATTGTTTCAATTTTCTCAAACCAGGGCTCGAATGGTGGCAAGTACCAGCTTGCGTTGAAGGATGCTTATGCGCCTGGGACAGAAGTCATGGAAGTCCTGGGCTGCTCCAAGCTCACTGTTAACGATATAGGCAATCTGACCGTTGAGATGGACGCTGGTGAGCCGAGGGTCTTTTTCCCTGTCGCACAACTCAATAATTCTGGGTTGTGTGGCTTTGAGAAAGAGAAGACAGTCTCGTCGAGCGGCAATTCGACCCAATCTAATGGCAAGGATAAGCATGAGGATAAGGAATCCTCTGCGAGCATCGCTTCCATTCCATGCTCTACTATTTTGATCTCATTGGCGGTTCTGAGCTGGTTTCTCTGATTAGCTTTCAAAGACATCTTGGCTCATTTTGCCTTTGTGCTGTATCTCTACTTACTACGATTGTTTTTCATTGCCTACTTCCTTCTTTTAATTGTGCTCGTGGCACCCTTTCTGTTCCAACACATGATGTACATATGTACTTGATTTTCCGGTCGAATTCACCGTTAATTGAAAATTGCCAACTTTTTTTTCTCCAAAACGACTGCATTCACCAACCAAACAAACGGCCTGCCTTGAATATATAACCTGGATTAGCCCTTCCGTGATTGATCTAGCCATACACCTGTGTCCGAATCCAGTCAAAATAATCGCAGTGCGCAATCTGCGCAATCACTTGTGTGAGCGACCCGAGGTCAAATCGCTGGTGAGGCCGATGGGAACAAGTCTACGTCTGCTTTACAACAAGAAGATACGAGGTTTCAAAAGCAGAACAAGTTACCACTATGGTGCAGCAATTCCTGGGTATACTTAGGGCTCATGTAAGAGTCGACGAGAGTCAGGGTTGTAGGCAGTCACGTGGAACAATTATCCGGTCGCCGTTACACTTTAGTACTTTTTATGTTTGAAATGCTTTCTTCCTGTTATCGGTATTACATTTTTACTTTGGACTTTGCACTTTTTTAAGGAAACGAAAGAAAGATCTTTATTCAATCATTTTTGTCGCCAATCTTGATTTTCGAGTGGCTTCAGGGCGTTATAGGATTTGAAGACGAACGGTCGGAGGGTGGGACGGACGATCATGACGCCCTGCCCAGCGGGAGGATCATCGAAGATCGCGGGAGGCGTTTTCAAGTGGCTGATGGTTATTCCCCATGACTCTTGAGATTTGTACGCAGTAGACTGAAATGCTATTCAGAAACAGAGGTCATCCCCAAGCAGTCAACAAGTGGCTACGGCCGCCATATCGGCTACCGTCTGCCATCACGAACCACCCTCTGTCATGAAGGGAGCTAAATGTTGCTCATGTATTTAGGGGAAGTATTGACACTCGTTACGACTATGCTGTTCCAAAAAAACAGACCCTATGCTGTAAACGGAAGCCTGAAGGTTAAGATCAATCAACCAAGTTCCAGGTGCACCCAAAGTTGCACAATGGGTACTCCCAGCAACGATAATCCGCAGGAGCAGGAGAAGGGGGGATTTCAATGAACCCCCCAGAAGCTCCCGATGACCATGAAAACCCTACGGGCCTTAGGCTCGTGCTTCTGATGATCTCCCTCTATATTGCCGTGTTCCTAGTTGCCTTGGTACAGCTGAATGCTCTCATACTTCTTCTCCGTGCGCCAGGAGGGCTTGCAGGACAAGCTAATTATCTCAACTGCCACACCCTCCATCTCCAATGAATTCCACGCGTCAAACGAGGTTGGCTGGTATGGGACAGCCTACATGCTCACCAATTGCGCCTTCTTGCTCGTCTTTGGGAAAATATACACCTTCGTGAGCGTCAAAGCCGTCTTTCTCGCCGCTGTCGTTCTTTTCGAGGTCGGCTCTGCTGTCTGCGGCGCGGAACCAAACTCGGTTGCCTTCATCATTGGCAGGGACATAAGGAAGGAGGCAGGTGAGATGGGTGAATACTACTTCTTATGGGCGGAGACTGAACAATAGATCAGAGGAGATTCTGATTCTTCGACATCATTGGGCGGGCAATTTCTTTCTTCTCGAAATTCGGACATATCCCACCCAACATGGATTGGATTTGACTATCCGTTGGAAACACATCCATAAGCTGGCCAGAAATCGTCATCACCATCATACTCAGGTCCCCTGACGTCCTTCCGAACCTGATCGAGATCTAAATGTTCCAGCCAGCTACTGTACCATTCCAGAAACTCGGGAATGGAGTCGAATCTTGGCTTCCGCCCATAAAGCGTAGTGGGATTTTCGCCGTGGGCCTGGAAAACAACCACCCGCCACGCCCAGTCCTTGTGGCTTGGATCGGAGTCGTCCACGTACCGGCGACAGTAGAGATAGGCGCTGTACCATTTATCATATCCATTTCGGCAGCCAGTCCCGGTTATGAAACCAACTTTCACTTCCAAGTCTTCATCGACGGTGCCGTCAATGAAGGTTTCGTCACACAGAAATTCTTGCAGAGAACATTTCAGATCTTCTCGGGCCCTGGAGATATCAGGGGCTGGCAGGGCAAATACCGCCAGGTTATCCTTGATTGTATAGTCCAGGATCCCTATTGAAAAGGTTGGTTCGAAAGGGGCGATGCCTGAGCGGCGGAAGTCTAGATCATGGACACCATCGGCGTACTTGATAAAGGAGCCCAGCTCGTGGCAAAGCGGGATTTGGAAATCCTCGTCCTCCTCATCTCGAAAGGCCGCCTCATTACACACACTTTGGACGGTCTCCAGATACATCCGACGCCACTCTTCTGTCAACAGGGTTGGTGGTAGGGTGCCATCCATATACTCATGGTATAGCGCTTTAACATCGGCCAATCGAGTGACATTTCTCTCCTCGCGAGATTGGCGGACAGGGCCTACTGGATCGCAATTTTTCCAAGGATCCTCGCCCTTGATTCCCAAATTAGGCCAGTAGGGGCGCATCTTTTTCAATTTTTCTTCTTCGGTGGGGAGATTCATGGCTTCAATTTCATCCATCCGATCTTGGAGGAACTGCCGATTAGAGGACTCCATTTTGGTGCGGAATTGTTCCACTGCCAGGCGCATGGTTTCATCCGCGTCAGTGGCAGATGGCTGTGTGGTGTTTGTCATGGTTTAGTAGCAGAGAACAGCAAAACCTGGCTGGTGGGTTAACAGAGAAGGGGTAAAAGAAGAAAAAGAACTGAACATGTTGAGATGTGATTGTGGTGTTTATGACAAGCGGGGACTAGGTACTCTCATGACTTCGGAGCTGGCATGATTGTTGTCTCCCAATGCCCCGGCTACATTGTCTTCCACCGTCTCAAGCAGTCTTGCGAATACCCATTCAAAATCCCATCTTCAACTACCTTCAGGGCCGAAGTTACATTGCAGTCAAAACCCGCTCCGCCTTCTTTGTGAGAATTTCTTGGACAGCAACGAAATCCTTTTCCCGTACGTTACCTGGTAATAGTGCGCCAATCTCACGGCCGGGTTGACCCGCCTCCCGTCGCTTCATTCTCGCACAACAACTGTAGCCATCTGTTGAGAGGAAACAACTCGAATTCGAACCCGCTGCTGTGAAGCTTCCTTAAACACGGAGGACTAGCAAAGGGATCTGGGTCGACCAAGTTATATATGGAGTCATCAATGTATCGCCGGTGGCAGTGTCCGCACAGGTCTCCTCCAGGGACGTCAGAGCTAGCCTTGCCAGTTTCCAGAATACATGCGGCAAGTGTATCGACGGGTAACCAGGAGCGGGTTGTCTCAATAGTCCGTAGGATGCCGAGGGTCAAGACCGAGCAGATCATCAAAGGCGTGGCATCGGAATCGTTCCACTGACCCTTGTCTGAGTGACCAGCGATCTGTCCGATCCTCAAGATAAAAGCCCTGGCTTACAATCCTTGTCCGCGAGGGTAGCCAGGATTACCTCTTTTGATCACGCCCTTCTCAAGCAGTTGATGAGCGCATGTACGCCCACGGAACCGGTCGCTCCCCTTGATCTGAGTCCGACCAGATCATCATCAGTCATCCGACGGGAAATACTGGTCGACGTCCACAGTCTATCGAACGGGTTCCACACTACCACGACATGCTTCTTTTGCCTCTTTCGGCGACCAGAGCACATTTCACCATGCCGGCATGCAATCTGCGACAGCCATCACATTGGACCTTTTGCAGGAGATGGAGAGGAGGCTCGGAGACGCTATACAGATGGCTCAGATTCCTGACCTTCTGGGAGGGACCAGTGTCGGTATGTTAGTCCTCGGTTGATTCATAGCTACAACGCGCGCTAGTCCGGCCCTTATCAACTCTTCTTCTCTGATTGTCCCTACTGTCTTTCGTCGGAAGGTTCGACTAGTAAGACCGCAGGGGGATTATCGCTTTGGCTCCGTATATATCACAAATTCTATGCCAACTGCCACAATCAGAGCCCGTCATTGCGAGCTCATTCTCAGTTGCTTCGTATATTCATTAATCTAACACAATACACAAACACGCCCGTTTCTATAAACAAATGTCTCTCGAGTCTATCATGCGACATTAGCCTTGAAGAGCTGTGGGAACAGTGTCCGCAGCTCCTCAAGGTTCCGAATCATGTATTGCGAGGCCGGAATCCGAGGGGTCTGGAGCATCGGTTCGACGAGGTGCACCGTAGTCCAGCCACGTTCCGCGGCGTGTTTGCAATTCAAGTGCGAGTCATCTTCCAATTCATCAGCATGATACCGAGACAGAGTCAAAGCTTATGGGATGTAACATACCAACAAAGTAGCACTGCTCTGTGCTCGGCGCCCCGGCTTCAATCTCCGCCTTCTCATACATGTCCTGGGATGGCTTACAGATGAGCGGAGGCCGCGCATAGTCGCAGAATGTGATGCCCTCGAACAAATCATCCACCTTCAACAACTTGATGACGCGTTTGGCATGTGTGACGTAAGCGTTTGTGAGCAGCCACAGCTTCACTTTGGACTTGTCGATGTCCTCGAGTAACTTGCGCAATTTGGGATCCGGTTTGAGGATCTCGTCTAGGGGGAGGGCATCGTCGACCTCGCGGTTGAATTCCAGGGGGTCAATGGTGTGATGACGCGTGAGACCCTCAATCGCAAGACCGTACTCCTTGTAGTATTTCTGGTGGAGCATGTGGGCGTCTTGAGCGCTGAGGGAGAGGTGCTTGACGAAGAACTGGTCTGTGAGGGTGAGGGTGATTGAGTTAGATGGGTGCGTTGTCCGAGCGCGTTCGTAGCGAGGAGGTTTTGAGGCGACTAACGGATTAACTTTTGCATCTCATCATGGATGTTGCATCCTGCGCTGGCCATGTCAGTTCTCATCGGAGCGCTCGAGGCAGCGGGGCTCCTGACCTCGAGAATAGAGCTGCGCATGACTCCATATTAGCCTGAGCTTTGTTTGAAAATAGACAACAGACAGAAGGAGAGCACATATACATACACAGTTATCTATGTCAAAGAAGAAAACTGGCCTTGGATCAGGATCAGGTACTGCGCCAGTGGGACATTCCGCAGTTGCCATTGTTCTTCGCGTGTGAATGAGATCACTGTGAGAAATGAAGGGTCTATAATGAAAAGATGAGGGAATTGCAAATTTAGGTTGGATTCTCTGGCATATGCGATAAGTCCGCGATATCAAAGGAGTCATAGATGAAGGTGGAAGTAGGTAGAGCGATGATTCACAACTAATGACTACTTCATGAATCCATACGGCCTCACTCCGCGGGAATAACCGCCCGCATTATGATTCCGTAGAGAGCTTAGCGCTGACCGCCAAACCCGGTCACGGACTCTCTAGCTTAAGCCGTTCGGACTCGAGAGCTTGATTCTGCCATTTTTTCTTCTCCCTTGACCACATCAAAGGCGAAAAATCACCCGGCTTTCCTGCTCTCAATCTCCCATGTTTCCTGTTGATAGAGTGATCAACTTATCACAGGTGAACTAGGTTTATAGGGCTTTTGAAATCACAGGTACTACAAGTATCGAATATTATTACTCCCATAAGCCAAACCTCCCGCCCGTGGAGCTTCAGCATCATGGCGACTCCCGGGACAGCTCAACTCCAAGCTGGGGGTGTATCAGCTAGCTTATCGGAAAGTGAGCAGGTGAAGGAGTATGAGAAGATTCTGAAAATTAGCGACGACATCTTTACTGGTGCTCACCCTAGGTTGAAAGTTCCCCAGCAATTTGTGCGCAAGACCACGTCTCGGAATGCCCCTAATCCCCCTACCCCAACAAGGCAAGCTCAGGTAAAGACTGCTGGCGGTCAAATTCCTCCCCAGGGTAATCCATCTCAGTCCAAGCCAGCAGCTGCAGGAGTCGCGAGTGCGCAGACCATCAAAACCAATGGTCCATCTGGTGTGACCAGCGCGCCTCAGTCTACGCGTATTGTTCCCAAGCCTACGTCGGAGATCGATCCGATCTTCTTGACCAAATCCGATGATCTAGTTAGAGCGGAATTGCAGTTACAACGACAAAGAGTGGAAAGGGCGTTACGAGAGCAGCTGGAACAAAAGAAGCAAGAGTCCCGGCAGCGAGCCGCCATGCAGGACGTGAAGCCAGACTTTGATGTCTCGGAAGTTTTGAACAAGGCCTTTGAGCTGGTTCCACCTTCACCATCCATCGATGTTCCTGGGCCCAATGGCATGGAAGCACCCAGTGACTCGTATGATGAATCCTTCGACTCCAGTAGAGCCCCTGACTCTCCGATTCAGCAAAAGCCATCTTCAGCGCCTCTTTCTAATTCAGAGGAAGTTGCTACTGAAGCTCCAGTAGAGAATTACTCAGATGAGTTGCAACGGCTTGAAGCCCTCAACAGACCGGCATCGGATCAGGAAATGCAAGATACTTACCCCGTTGCAGACCATCAGAGTCAGTCACAGCAGGCTCAGGTAGATCGCGCGAACAACAACATGCAGGCAACTCAACAGCAGGCAGATGCTTTTGAGGAGCCCGAGTATTCACCTCCAGCTCCAGGTATACCGCCTATGGAAAGCGCAGACTTTCATCCGATCGAACACAGACAGCCACATACGGACAAGCGCAGAGGACAAGACCAGGAGCGTCCTCCTTCCCATCAACATCGTCACAAAACAGTATCACCCGGGGATAACGTGAGGGTTGTGCGCAATCATATCACTTCTCCTGCGGCACCTCAGCCGTCAAGAGTTTCTCCACTGGCCATAGCTAAGGTTCCCACCATCCATCATCCCAAAGTCCCACCAATAGACGACAGCTCTAACCGGATGCAGCATGCGAGACAGGATCTTCGAGCTGCCAGTCCTGACATTCCGCCCCAGCAGTTGATGCCGAGGAAACGCAGGAGACTACATGAAGACAGAAGCCGACCCCGCCAAGTCTCTTACAGATCGCAAGCAGGTGGCAGAGCCGAGACACACATCAAGGACGAACCTGTCTCGCCGCCGCCTTTTGCTGACACGCCACCCGCAATCCAGCCTCAAGAAAGACCGATCTATATTGACATCGCCTCGCCTCGCTATACGCCAGTATACGAGAGAATCGAACCGATGCGGGAGCCTGCATATGAGCTCGACCCTTATCATGAAGCTCAAATCGAAGCCGCATACCCAAGGACGGTTTCAAGGCTTAGCGTTCGGCGTCCTGTACGCGATGACCAAGATCTACGGAGGGTGGCAAGCTTACACCAGGCTCGGCACCCTGAGTACACTCGGGAGTACATTGAGCGACCCAGCTCTCGCTCGCTGCGCGCTGCATCCTACGCTATCGTGGAGCGTCCTCCACAAGAAAGAGTCAGGTATTATGACGACGTGCCCCAAACTTACGCTAGACACTACGTCCCGGCCGGCGGGTCGCCGACATCGCCGCGCTACCAAGAGGCCTGGCTTGAAGGAAGTGCAACGGCGCCTCAAGGGCGGATCTTGATAGATGAGCACGGAAATCATTACCGTGAGAAGACTCCACCGCCAAGAATGCAGGCAATGCCTCCACCTCCTGGTCGAATCCCGCGAGGCGAGGTCTACGATGACGGCGCACAGATACGTCCTGGTGGTAACGTTCGAGCGGTCTCCGTTGTTGAGGATCCATATGGTGGCCGGAGATACGTGCAGGAAATGCCACCTCCGCCCACAGCTTATCGACGGGTGACGG